TCGTCCTGAGTAAACACTTCCGGTCGGCTGCTAGGAAGACGATCATATACACAATAAACCTGTCCGTCCAACTGATGGCTACATAGTGTTACATTTCTCTTACTTTGTTGTTACTAATTTGACACAGTTTACGTCTTGGCTTTAGTGTACTGGCAGACTACATCTAAAAGGATTTGTTGTTTAAGGCTACACTCAACAATATCCAAGCGATATGACGGCAACCCTTCAATATTGGGGTCAAACGAAACAGCGGTTGACAACGTGGGCATCGATCGACTTATTTTGGGCGCGGTGGGGTAGCCTAGTGGTTAAAGCGTTCGCTTGTCACGCCAAAGACCGAAGACCCGGTTTCGATTCCCCGCATGAGTGTGAAGCCCATTTCTGGTGTCCCCCGCCGTGATATTGCTGGAATATTGCTAAAAGCGGCGTAAAACAATGCTCGCTCGCTCACTCACTTATTTGGGCAATGATGACATGTAATCAACCAGGTTATCGAGTTTGACCACCCGATCCGCCCCTCGACACAGTGTGCCCCTCATACCGATCCTCTAATAAACATCCGGGTACTTAATTCCTAAGCCAGTTTCCAGACCCGGCGAACAACACAGGCGTTAACCACTGGGCTCCCCGCCACCGCCACTACTAAAATTAAATGCTAAATTCATTTTTCACCAAACAAAAATATTATATTAAGGTTAATGTAACATATACGTAAATATTAAAATATATCCACATTCTCTTAAATTTAAAGAGAAACCTCTAAGTACCGTTATATCTTTTTGGGCGGCGGAGTAGACTAGTGGTTATAGGGTTGGCTCGTCACGCCGAAGATCCAGGTTCGATTCCCCACCTGGGTACAATGTATGAAGCCAATTTCTGGTGTCATCCGCCGTGATATTGCTGGAATATTGCTAAAGGCGGCGTATAACCATAACAATACACTCTTATATTATTAAAACTAACACTGACTGTCTGACACTAATATACCGGGGCATGCTTACCAAATACTTTAATTACACAAACCACCGTAATTAAGGTAATATTGAAATATCATAACATATATATATTACGACATTTGCCTGAAACGTGTGAACATTGTTAAGAATAGGTGGAATACAGACAATGACCATTATTGGTAGAAGAGAGGATCTTGCTAGAAATTTGTATATGGTATATTTTGTCATTATACTGTCTTTGAAGATGAATTTAAATACCATATTTAGTATCATTTGATATATGTTTGGGTTTTTTCATTTATGCAGTTTGAAACAATAGACAACGAGGAGAGTTCTATGGATATACAACTTCTTTAATGTAATATGAAACAATAGTCACGCTTATATTTACACTAAATTCTGAAGATTTAATAACTTCGTTAATTGTTTAAATATGTGCAGTAAACTGGTAGATATAACAATGTCCTTATGATTTATGATATTGTCCTTTTCCCCAAAATATTAATTGAAGATGAAATACATGTTTTACTTTATTGTAAAGCCTACTTAGATATAAGGAATAAAATATTAGATAAATTATGTGAAACATCCTCTATCACAACGCAGTTTTGTTAATATAATATCTTCAACAAATATAAATGTTAACGTTATATAAATAATGTATGCCTATTTTATATAATGTCACGAAAATAAACAATTCTGAGGTTTTTCTGTAAAACTCATGAAAAATATATATTTATGAATGTATTTGGGGCCCGTGCCCTTTTACTGCATAAAATGTCTTTATCTATACCCTCATGGAATATTATCACAGCAAAGATTTTTACCAAACAAAATATATATTAAGGTAAATGTGACATATACGTAAATATTGAAATATACTCATGCCAATAATGGTTGTCATCCCCCCCCATCCCAACACCCACACACACACACACCCACCCACACACACCACCCACACACCCCCTCTCCAATTAAAAACATTGAAGGGGTGACAACCATTATTGGCATGAGTATATAACCACATTCTCTTAACTCTACAGAAACAAGCTCTATTCATCTGCACAGATTTCGAACCACGATCACATTGTGTGTATGTATTGTTTGTTATGAAATGTATTTGCGGAGAATGTATTGTTTGTTATGAAATGTATTTGCGTAGAATACAGGTCATAACAGACAATGGTTTTGGTGCTATCAGCTTCAACCTGCGGTCAGACATCAACGAAGTTAAGATTTTCAATGGCATTGTGCGAGAAAGAAGTGTTGTCATTAAAGAAACCGGGCCTTGTGTTGTGTCTCAGGCCTACCTTGTTCCGTGGGAGACGTCACCTGGCACCCAGTATATATACCAGGGTCAGGCCAGGGTTAGATAGACAGATCTTGTTTCAGAAACAGGTAGGTGAGAGGCCATAATGTCACCAATGGTGTTGGTTTTTACACTATCATACACGCGTCGTGATTTTAACATTTGTTGTGTTAAACGCTGCACTCAGCAATATACCAGCTATATGAAGGCGGTTTGTAAATAACGGACTCAGACATTATTATAATGGGTCAGACAATCCAGTGATCAACAGCATGAGCAGCTGGGATACAATGACATGTGCCCACCATGAATAAATAAGTAGAAAAATGAGATATTTTGTTTGGCCCTGAAGCTCGTGTTCCTCTTGAATGAATGAGTAGAAAAATGAGATATTTATGTTTGGCCCTCAAGCTCGTGTTCCTCTTGAATAAATGAGTAGAAGAATGAGATATTTATGTTTGGCCCTGAAGCTCGTGTTCCTCGTGAACAGATGAATAGGAATAAGTGAATAGGAAAATGAGATACAGTGGAAGCCTTCTAAACCGGCAGCCCTCCAAGTTTCATGCTCTCAATATCGGCACTAGAATTTGATCTTGGCAGAAGCTAGTTAATTTGTGATCATTTACACGCCCTCTAATTCGGCTTCAGGCTATTCCGTATTTCGGCACAACAAAGACCGTCCAATTGACTGTTTGTACAGTAATTAACGCTCTCTAAACCGGCATCCGGTATATCGACTCTTCTGTTGATTGGCCGATTGGCTGAACGTTAGGAATAGGCCTAAGTAGGTGAGGTAAATTGGTGAGTGGCACGTGTTACTTGTATTATAAATTAATTTTCGTGTCACAATTTGTCGCTCATCGTGCACAGATTGCAATTGAACAGAAAATGCAGCTGATAAAAGATTTTGATGCAATTCCTCGGCCTACTCAAAACGATATTGCACTTAAGTACCAAACCAGCAGGCAAACAGTTTCGGGCGTTCTGAAAAAGCGTCAAGTTTCGAACACAACATCAATTCAAAACAAAACGTGTAAATGAAAACAGTAAGTTTGATAAACATTAACTGACTGATGCACATTCAGTTTGCTTCAGAATTAAATGTCAACGAGTTTTACGTCACACGGAAGATCATTCTCAGCTTGAAAAGGGAAACGTTCTCTAAACCGGCACACCCTCTATACTGAAATCCGGTTTAGAGGGCTTCCACTGTATTTATGTTTGGCCCTCAAGCTCGTGTTCCTCGTGAATAAATGAGTAAGAAAATGAGATATTTACGTCTGGCTCTCAAGCTCGTGTTCCTCGGAGATAAATGGAAATTGTTAATGGGCATTAGAAGCCACCTTACAACTCCAAACTTCCTACTTGTATGTTATAACAGGGTAACAGGTAACAGTTAGTACAAGAAAAACATGACACACTGTACGTGGCATCTGGGTTACTGGCACCAGAAGTAAGCCATTCAAACCTCTCAACAACGTCCTTGACCTTGGCAGAGGAAACGCAGATCCATCCCGGATTTGATAAGATTACAGATAGCTGACATACCGACCGTGTTTCACTATATCTTCAAAGTAGAGCAAAGCAAACCACAGGACATCAGGAAAAACTGTTGACAGTCGCAACTTTAAGCAATACCTTGGGGAAAATGACTGAAATACCAGTTTATCAGTTTTACCCATTTATATCATACTTGTGTACTTCATGTCAAAGACCAAATTTTGGGTGTGTATGAAAGAAGAACGACTGGGTATAAGTTTACAGATGTCTTATATTTTTAAATATTTATAACTTTCAAGCGGGTTAGGGAGGACCATCTTTCCTCGTTCTCTAAACGGACAGGTGTTTTCAAGACTCGCTTTAGAAATATTTCAGCAATGAAGTTCAGTTTACCAATGTGATCCGCCGCCCATCTTCTCTCTCACACACACATGCCCGCGCGCGCGCACGCACACACACACACACACACACAAACAGAGCTTTCCCCTATTCTTCATTTAGTCGTCAGTTTGTGGTTGTGTGGAAGAACGGATGACTTTGATTTTAAATTTTACGTTTACCTTCAAGGTTCGACACCACGGTGTTTGACGCTATTTGTTGCGATCCTGCTAAAAACGCCGTCACTCACTTACTCACTCTTTTGAAATACCTAACTGGCCTATTGCTGTTTGCTCACTGCCCATTTGATACCGTAGGGTGGGTACTCCATAGTTGTTAACCTTTGGATTGTTATGCCATTGTTGGTTGAATGTTGTTTTACTCCGCACTCAGCAATATTCCAGCTATATGGCCGCGGTCTGTAAATAATCGAGTCTGGACCAGACAATCCAGTGATCAACAGCATGAGCATCGATCTACACTATTGGGATACGATTGCATGCATCAACCAAGTCAGCGAGTTTGACCACCCGATCCCGTTTGTCGCTTCTTACGACAAGCATGGGTTGCTGAAGACCAATTCTAACCCCGATCTTCACGGGTGATGGTTAAAAAAAAAATGACTCGACGTTGAATAGAGACGACACAGTTTTTACTGCTTCAGCAACGAATGTATTGTTTTCCGATTTAAAAGAACGAGACTAAGTATCTATGATAAGAAATGCAACAACATCGTGTTTGTTTTCGTATAAGATAATATTTTTCAACTATCTGAGGCAAATACATGTATTTCAAAAATTAAAAGTCTAACCCCGAACGGTGATAGCCTCATAAAATTAATGTTATATTTGCAGATACTAAGGATATCAGGTTCAAGTATGAAATCTTTGAAAATCCATTTTGAAATGTAACCTTTGGCTTTCAGATGGTATAGGCTGTTATTGTACCAGACTGGGACTTTTCAAACATCATCATAGGACATAAATCACAACAATCAATAAGATCATTAATGGTTGTATGTTCATCAAATGAGACATTTTCGTTTGTGTTACAGAATCATGCGATCACTGGCAGTCCTTCTACTCGCCGCTGTGGCTTATGGGTAAGTTATGGAACTGTGGGTGAAAGTAGCAATCATTACTACAATAAAACGTTTCTTGACCCTGTGCAGTCCTACAAGGCTTATTCACTGCAGTGAACACCTGCCTTTGCTGTAGTCGACTTGAGTCGCCCGGATCACTTTACCGACAGGGATCAAAAGCGGCGTAAAACCTAGCTCACTCACTCACTCACTCACTCACCCACTCACTCACTCACTCACTCACTCACACTCAACTCACTCACTCACTCACTCACTCACTCACTCACTCACTCACTCTCACTCACTCACTCACTCACTCACTCAATCAATAAGATGTTAAACACTTGTAACCTTCCTGTCAGCTCAATACAACCAAAGTTAAACATTGTTGTAATCTTTCAGCCAGCTGAGCAACCCAAAGTGTATCCACAGCAACACCCAACAACACACCGCCGACATGGTCGTTCTGCAGGCACTCAACGACATGGACTCCAATAAAGACGGCATTGTTGAAGACATGGAAATTCTCAACGAGTTCGTGACGAATTTCGATCACGACGGTAGGATCCATTTGGTGTTTGATTTGTCAGAAATTACACATGGAATAGCATTTTAACTTTTGAAAAACCTTTCTTAATTTCCTGATAATAAGTTTAGCCGTACCCGGGGCGGTGGGGTAGTCTAGTGGTTAAAGCGTTGGCTCGTCACGCCGAAGACGTTCGAATCCCCACATGGGTACAATGTGTGAAGCTCATTTCTGGTGTCCCCCGCCGTGTTGTTGCTGGAATATTGCTAAAAGCGGTGTAAAACCAAACTCAGTCAGTCAGTTTAGCCGTACCCACGTTGTGGGGTTAGCACGGTATCCGTGTCTGGGTTTCTACTATATGCACTGTATACCATAATATCTTTCATCACAGTGACAAACAGCTAACACTTACTTCACGTCCAAGGCCACCCATGTAAAGCTGACAAAATGTACAACTGAAATATTATTCAAAGAGGCTTTGAACTCATTAACAAGCGCATGATTCTGTCGACAGGTAGTTTGTCCATCTCGAAGGCTGAGTTTGTCAAACAATGGCACGCAACATACCACGACGCCCCCGATTTCGCCGCCTTCATCTTCACAAAGTTCGACACCAACGGCGACGGCAGCCTTGGCCTCTTTGACGTGCTTGGGCTGAAGAGCAAGGTCGACGTTGACCGTGAGTGATGAGCATTCAGAAATATTTCGAATACTATGTATTTTCGTCCCGATTCTAAAGATGAAATTTTACAGCTATTCATCTCCCTCAACACTTGACTTAGAATGACATTTATGAACTTCACCAGTAACCAGGGAGAAGGAATCGTTCAGTTCAAACAATATTTGGCATACACATCTCCTAGCTTGCGTAGTGCCACGACATTCGTAACTTGATGGTAAACTGAAGAGTTACTTGTCTTGTCTTGTAACGCCTTGGTTTGACCTCGCCCGGGATCGAACCACCGACCTTCCGTTCCTCTGGCAAACGCACTATCCTGCTAGACCAGGGATGAGATCCCTACGTTCATATAGGGCACTTAGAGATGATGATTAGAACTGGTCTTCAGAAACCCATGCTTATCGGTGGTCAGGTTCGCTGACTTGGTTGACACATGTCATCGCATTACAATTGCGTATCGATGCTCATGTTGTTGATCATTTGATTGTCTGGTCCAGACTCGAATATTTACAGACCGCCGCCATATAGCTGGAATATTGCCGAGTGCAGCGTTAAACGACAAACAAACATCATAAAGTTTAAATGAAAAGAGCACCCCAGACCGAGAACCACACACGGTGTTTGTCTCCTTCGTGGCCTGTTTCAAGTGTTTTGTCAGGGGCCGGTCATTGGGTTAATCATAGGAGGGGCATAAAAATACACATATTTCGGGGGATCGTTTTGTATTTTCATGGAGGGTCGTGAAAAAAATGTTCATAGACATAGGGAAGGGTCAATAACAGGACTAACTTTGCGAACCACTGGTTTCTGTACACAGTGCATGAAAAGCTCTCGCTCACTCACCCCTGTAATAAATTAGCTGTCCCATATATAACAAGACCTTATAAGGATTCACGGAGTCATACGATGGAATGAAAAGAAATGACATAGTTATCTCCCTTTACAGAGGACGGCAAGATCACCGATGTGGAGTTCACCGAGTTCCTGGTAAACGTACGTAGTCAAGATGTTAGACATTAATATCAATTTGTGTGCAGTGTGACCAGAAGACGGGCAACCCTGTCGAGGCCTTCTCTTGGAAGAAGTCTGCTGGCCTGAAAATTGAAACAGAAGGCTTTCTTTTAACTGCTCAGCAATAATCACTTCCCACACGAAGTCGTCAACGTGTGTATTTTCATCAAAATGTTTATAAGAAATTCAAATTATGCAATGCGTTCAAAGAGAATGTCCACCACAGTGGACGCCCTTCTTTGACGCAAACATAGTATCAAAAGCGACATGACGTGGTTCGATCCTTCTATTAGCGTCGTCGCCATGCTTGTGGTTTTCACAAAGAGGTCCATTCATAGTACGAATATTTAGAGGGCGTCACGGAATGTGATAATTAAAATTATTTAGAATAGTTTACATCCTCAGACGTATCCAAGCCAACAAACCTGACCTTGTCTTTCATTAGTATGGTAAATATACGGATCTGGCTTGCATCCCGTGAACCAAGTTGTAAACCCATTGCTCTCGGTGCCTTGGGTTTGGTGCCTCCCAATCTCTTTGCTGGCACTGGGAGAGTAACTGGATTTGCTGCCAGGAACACACACTGTAATTTTCCGGGTAATGCAGAACTTAAGACTCAGAGAGTCATATTCTCCGAGTTGGTGGGTAGGAAAAGGCGCTTCTGGAGAGAAGTCTCACTCGCTGTCAGGGGTGGAGGTGAAAGGGGCAGGACCCTGAGCTGATGATGAGCCTGAACAGTCGTCCTGTACAAGGATCTCCCGAAACCTATTTTGCTGCATTTAGTTATTGTAAACTGTTAAATTATATTGGTAATGATGGCGGTGACGTCGACGACTATGATGGTGATGGTTGCTATGGTAACACTTCCGGTCTTGTTCCAGGCTTACCGTGAATGTGTCCAGACTCACCAGGCTCCCATCTAAGAAGATCGTCATGTATCTTTCTGACAAATAAATGTTTCTTTCAAGTCAACAGTCTTCTTACACTTTACTAAAACCTCACGGTTTATTACTATAAAAACATTGCTGACTCGATTATTTAACGTGGTTGACACATGTCACATGACACATATACGGATGTTGGTTTCGGATCTTGGATAGGACTCAACCCATCAAAAGAACTAGAATCTGTACTTTACTGAGAAAGTGTAATCCCAAATATATCATGTGCTACATTTGACCACTTTCTCAATGGCATTGTGTATTCATTGTTTGTATCTGCGGTGAAGTGGAACGTTTGTTCCATTTACCTAACCATGCGACAAGATCAGCTGGCAGAACATCGTCGGACAGACAGATTCACGAAAACGACGTTGCGTCAGACTAGCTAACTGATACTCAACATTTGACATTAATTGGAAAAATAACTGTGATAAAAACTTCAGCATTATCTACTCTTCTTCACATATTCTCTGCTTTGACGCAACCACCCAAAAAAATTGTTGAGGAACTAAGTTCAATTTTAATTTGGAACTCTAAACCTGATAAAATTAAACGGGCGAAGCTATGGGAATGGTGGATTGAGAATGGTAGATATAAATGTGTTCATATCATCGCTAAAGCTCAGTATCCTAAACAAAAGCATGTTTAAGAACCTCTATAATAGCTACATTCCTTTAAAACTCCTTTTTCAACTGGGTGTCCATGTATCGTCTTACAGACTTTGTAAAATTGATAACCCCTACGGGCAGGATTTGATATATATTTGGAGTAAATACTATAGGTCTCATTTGACAGATGCAAGAGATATTCAGGCTATTCTAGCTGAACCGATATGGTTTAACCACCAGTGTACAGACTCATATTTTATTATAAAAACTGGTTCGGTAAAGGAGTGCATTATATAAGAGACTTGAGTGATGAGAACGGGATCTTATCCTTTGTAGACTTGAAAAAAAAATTGAACCTCAAGGGTACTGATCTGGACATTCATCGAGTTCTTAGTAATCTCCCTAAAGAATGGATAAAGGTGATAGACAATTCTAAACCTATATGTGTCTACGATCTTAGGATGAATAACTTTTTAATGGAATGGACCAAACCAGCAAAGGGATATCGGAAGATATATGATATACTTGTGCAAAATAATTATCTCCCTATTATTTGTAGTAAATGGCAACAAATGTTCTTAACTGACTTAAACTGGAAGGAAATATTTAGTCTTCCTGAACAATGCTGTAGAGATATCAAGCTACAAGATTTCCAATATAGATTTTTGCATCGCATTATATAAACAAACAGGAATTATTGAAAATGAAGCTAATCGACAATAGTATTTGTCAAAGATGTAACAATGAAAACGAATCGATTGTGCATGTATATTTTGAATGTCCCCAGGTTAGTCATTCTTGGTACAATCTGGAACAATTTTTGAGACAACATCTGTGTTATGAGATTCAGCTTAATCTTGAAGCCATCCTCTTTGGTATCCAGGGCACCGCAAACTTCAAACTGGTGAACCACATTCTTTTGGCCGGAAAAAGATATATATAAATAAGTTGTATTATAAATGAATCTCTATCTTTCAAATCTTTTATTGCTACCTTGAAAGATATTTTTCAAGTTGAGAGATATGTTGCTAGAATAAAAAAACAACTAAAAGAATGTATAAGTAAATGGCTACCACTACTCACAACATGGACCGATGTGTCATGACTCTTCAACATGCTTAAAGAAGAATTTTGAGATCGCGAATTACAATATGATGGTTAAAAGGTATACATATTTATATGCATAAGCTGTATTAAAAATTTAATATTGACCCTAAAATATGTGGAGTAAACGGGCTCCCAGTACACAACATGTGTTATGACTCTTCAATGTATACAATTTATGATCTTTGTGCAGTAATACTTGAATGAATCTACTCATGTTTGAAGACTGATGTGTTGTGAGCTGTCAACATGTACAAGCTTGTATTAGGCATGACCTCTGTATAATAATGTATGAATGTTTCTACCTCTTGGTTACCCAGAAGGATACGGTGCTATTATGAAAACGAACCAAATGAACCCAGGAGCAAACAAGTAATATTACTCATAGCACCGACTTACCTAATTGCTCAAGCTTAGACGATCCGCAATTATACAACTTTGTTTGGATGATATTCGCATAAAACGACTGCAACTAGTTATGTCACCTGTCAACGTGTATGACTTTTGTATAGAATGACCTACTGATGTGAATAAAAAAATGTGGGAAAAAAACCAAAACTGATACTCAACAAGCTACATGTAAATGATACTCAACCAACTAAATGATACTCAACCAACTAAATGATACTCAACCAACTAAATGATGCTCAACCAACTAAATGATACTCAACCAACTAAATGATGCTCAACCAACTAAATGATGCTCAACCAACTAAATGATACTCAACCAACTAAATGATACTCAACCAACTAAATGATGCTCAACCAACTAAATGATACTCAACCAACTAAATGATGCTCAACCAACTAAATGATACTCAACCAACTAAATGATACTCAACCAACTAAATGATGCTCAACCAACTAAAACCAACTAAATGATACTCAACCAACTAAATGATGCTCAACCAACTAAATGATACTCAACCAACTAAATGATGCTCAACCAACTAATAAATGCTCAACCAACTAAATGATGCTCAACAACTAAATGATGCTCAACCAACTAAATGATGCTCAACCAACTAAATGATGCTCAACCAACTAAATGATGCTCAACCAACTAAATGATGCTCAACCAACTAAATGATGCTCAACCAACTAAATGATACTCAACCAACTAAATGATGCTCAACCAACTAAATGATACTCAACCAACTAAATGATGCTCAACCAACTAAATGATGCTCAACCAACTAAATGATGCTCAACCAACTAAATGATGCTCAACCAACTAAATGATGCTCAACCAACTAAATGATGCTCAACCAACTAAATGATGCTCAACTAATGATGCTCAACCAACTAAATGATCAACCAACTAAATGATGCTCAACCAACTAAATGATCCTCAACCAACTAAATGATGCTCAACCAACTAAATGATACTCAACCAACTAAATGATCCTCAACCAACTAAATGATGCTCAACCAACTAAATGGTACTCAACCAACTAAATGATGCTCAACCAACTAATATACTCAACCAACTAAATGATGCTCAACAACTAAATGATGCTCAACAAACTAAATGATACTCAACCAACTAAATGATGCTCAACCAACTAATATACTCAACCAACTAAATGATGCTCAACAACTAAATGATGCTCAACCAACTAAATGATGCTCAACAACTAAATGATGCTCAACCGACTAAATGATCCTCAACAAACTAAATGATGCTCAACCAACTAAATGATACTCAACCAACTAAATGATACTCAACCAACTAAATGATGCTCAACCAACTAAATGATGCTCAACCAACTAAATGATACTCAACCAACTAAATGATACTCAACCAACTAAATGATGCTCAACCAACTAAATGATACTCAACCAACTAAATGATGCTCAACCAACTAAATGATGCTCAACCAACTAAATGATACTCAACCAACTAAATGATGCTCAACCAACTAAATGATACTCAACCAACTAAATGATGCTCAACCAACTAAATGATGCTCAACCAACTAAATGATGCTCAACCAACTAAATGATGCTCAACCAACTAAATGATGCTCAACCAACTAAATGATGCTCAACCAACTAAATGATGCTCAACAACTAAATGATGCTCAACCAACTAAATGATGCTCAACCAACTAAATGATGCTCAACCAACTAAATGATGCTCAACCAACTAAAATGATGCTCAACCAACTAAATGATGCTCAACCAACTAAATGATGCTCAACCAACTAAATGATGCCTCAACCAACTAAATGATGCCTCAACCAACTAAATGATGCTCAACCAACTAAATGATGCTCAACCAACTAAATGATGCTCAACCAACTAATATACTCAACCAACTAAATGATCCTCAACCAACTAAATGATGCTCAACCAACTAAATGATACTCAACCAACTAAATGATGCTCAACCAACTAAATGATGCTCAACAACTAAATGATGCTCAACCAACTAAATGATCCTCAACAAACTAAATGATGCTCAACCAACTAATATACTCAACCAACTAAATGATCCTCAACCAACTAAATGATGCTCAACCAACTAAATGATCCTCAACCAACTAAATGATGCTCAACCAACTAATATACTCAACCAAGTAAATGATCCTCAACCAACTAAATGATGCTCAACCAACTAAATGGTACTCAACCAACTAAATGATGCTCAACAAACTAATATACTCAACCAACTAAATGATGCTCAACAACTAAATGATACTCAACAAACTAAATGGTACTCAACCAACTAAATGATGCTCAACCAACTAATATACTCAACCAACTAAATGATGCTCAACAACTAAATGATGCTCAACCAACTAAATGATGCTCAACCAACTAAATGATGCTCAACCGACTAAATGATCCTCAACAAACTAAATGATGCTCAACCAACTAATATACTCAACCAACTAAATGATCCTCAATCAACTAAATGATGCTCAACCAACTAAATGATCCTCAACCAACTAAATGATGCTCAACCAACTAATATACTCAACCAACTAAATGATCCTCAACCAACTAAATGATCCTCAACCAACTAAATGGTACTCAACCAACTAAATGATGCTCAACAAACTAATATACTCAACCAACTAAATGATGCTCAACAACTAAATGATGCTCAACCACTATGACACGCTGTTGTTACTGCGGCTGCTAATTTTACTCAAATTCACAATTCAAACAGTGTAGGGGCCCACAGTTGCAAAATCATTTCTTACCCCATGCTTCATTGAACAAATCTTTTAACACCAAATTACCCAGACACAAATGATAATTAAATTTAACAATTGTTGCAATCCTATCCACAAATAATCAGCATGTCACGGT